CTCCCTAGGTACCAACCAAGCAGGGAGATACTCACTGTTCTTGGAAGCCAAGCCCGTTGTCTCTTGGAGTACCAGTCATGGGGGCAGAGAGCTGCTCTGTCCAGGTCCTGGGCTGCAAGGCCTCAGGCAGGCCCTGTACCCTCTTCCAGATTTCATGGCAAGTCTTATCTAGGCTGTCTTGGGGTGTGTCTTGGTGGATCCAGATGTATCTGGGGAACGGGCCCAGGGCTGAGGGGTGCTTGGCCACCAGGCCGGAGGATGAAGGGAGCCCATTCCCACTGGCCATGCTCCTCCTCTCTCTCTGGAAGCCCCTTTGTCCACCCAGGGCTCGCAGACAGGGGGACAATCCACCACCACCCTTCATTCACCAGAAGGGGAGATGAGGGTGAGGCGTCGCAGAGACAGGTCAGTTCTGTCTTGTTGCTCCAGCAAGGTTACTGGTAAGAGGCCCTGGATGTGGGTATGAGTGGTGGGGAGTGGACAGCTTTCTTTTGGGGAGGGGGAGCTTATTTGGATTTGTTTTTATTTGCTCTTCCCTGACTTTTCCCCCCCTCCCCCTATCCCGTAGAAGAAAATATTTAAAAGTCAACAAAAACCAGTAGCTTAGTAACCGCGGAATCCCCCGGAGCTCAGGAGCCAGGCGCCTGGGCAAGCAGAATGACATCTGGGAACAGCTGGATGGGGGCCGACTCTCCCCACAGTGCCTGGCACTCCCCCCTTGTGACACCCTCCTGGCACCTTGCGGCTCCTGGGGGTCAGCCCATTCTCTCCTGCTAAGCCGGCAAATGACTGGTTAAAAGTTAAGCTCTGCGTTAGGCACTGTGGGTGTAGGAGGCCACCATTAAGAGCTTCCCAAAGACCCCCGCGCAACCTGAGTGCCAACGGACCCCGCCTCCCCTCCCCCCGCTGGGTCCCTCTTTTGCTTGCCCCACTAGCCTCTCTGCCTGTCTCCTTCTGTAGAGGCTGCTCTACCGCCCCTGGAAAGAAAACTTTAGTGAATAAATCTGAGGAACGTTTTGCGCCGTTCGGCAACCGGCTCCGCCTCCCCTGGCAGACACCTGCCACGTCCCCGCACTGGGACTTGGAGATGGGCACCGCGAAGGGTCCCTACGCTTTCAAAGGGCGCTGTTTCAGCAGGGCAGGCCGGACCGGCGGCTGTGGCCTACTTGCGTGCCAGTGGCTCTCACAAACTTGCGGTCGAGCGCTGGAATTCTTTCTGTGAGTTTCAAACTCAACGGCTCAGTGCGCGAGGCGCTCTGGGTTCGGTGCCCAAGGATCTCCAGCTGCCGCCACGGGCTGGAGCGGGTGAGAGAGCGCCCGGTAGGCTCCCTGAGCGCGCTTTCCCCCTTTAGAAGTGGGCGGAGACAGAAGGCGCCTTCACTTTGCTGCTGTTGTTGTTATGTGAGGTCGAGTCTGACCTGACTCATAGCGACCCCTCCTTGGGTTTCCGAGGCGGTATCACTACGGAAGTAGATTGCCCAACCTTCCTTCAGAGGAGTGGCCGGTGGGTTTGAACCGCCAGCCTTCTGCTTAGCAGTCAAGTGCCTCAGGTACTATGCTTCCAGAGTTCCCCTTCACTTTGCTACCATGCACAAACGCCGCACGAGCGGGGGCCTGCCCCTTTGTCAACCAGATTTTACCACACTAACTGCCATTTTAGTCAGGCCTTTGCTATGTTGTAAGCGCTCACCTTTCTGTGTTGTATTTGATCCTGACAAGCTCACGCATAGTATTGTTAATTATTATCTATCAACATACAAGGAACGGAAGCTCAGTCACAAAGGGATATGTCCAAGAACTATTAAGTGGGGAACTGGGATTCAAACCAGGGCACGCTAGGCCTGAGCCACTGAGATAGACCGCTCTTTCTTTTTAAACATGGAACTGACATTGCAAACGGGGACAGGGGCTTGTTCCTCCAGTTTCCCCTAAGAAGGAAGAGCAATAAGGTAGAGAACAGAATGGACTCATATAGGCGTGTTGCAGCCTATAGAGGTGGTTGTTGTTATGTGCAGTCGAGTTGTCCCCCACTCATAGCGACCCCTCCTTCGGTTTCCGAGGCAGTATCACTACGGAAGTAGATTGCCCAACCTTCCTTCCGAGGAGTGGCTAGTGGGTTTGAACTGCCAGCCTTCTGGTTAACAGTCAAGTGCCTTAGGCACTACGCTACCAAAGCTCCCACTTATAGAGGTAGGGCTGCATTAAATCCTGAACTGCCATTTCCAAGCTGTGTGTCCCTGAACGATTTCTTAATTTCTCCCATTGTCATTCATTTCATTTCTCAAATATTGATTGAGTCCTTCCTTGGTGCCTTGCTGGGACTGAGGAAGCATGAGAATAAACAAACAAACCAACAAAAATTGTCCCTGCTCTCAGGGAGCCTGTATTCTAGTGGAGGGAGACAGACGACAAACTAGCAAAGTGAATAAACGTTAATTATAGATCCCTGGTGATGAAGTGGGAGTTCTGGTAGGATAGTGCCTAAGGCACTTGACTGCTAACCAGAAGGCTGGCAGTGCAAACCCACCAGCCACTCCTCGGAAGGAAGGTTGGGCAATCTACTTCCGTAGTGATACTGCCTCAGAAACCCAAGGAGGGGTCGCTATGAGTCGGATCCAACTCCACGGCAGTGCTTTGCGTTCTGTTGCTTTGTGTTGCATTGCATTGCGCTGCAGTTGGTGATGCAGTGGTTAAGTGCAGGGCTGAACCCACCAGCCACTCTGCAGGAGGAAGATGTGGCTGTCTACTTTCATAAAGATTGCAGCCTGGGAAACCATCTATAGGATAGTTCTACTCTGTCTTATAGGGTCCCTATGAGTCAGAATTGACTTGATGACAATGGGGTACAGATCCTTGGGTGATACATAAGTTTAAGAGATTAGCTACTGGGTAGCACAAGCAGTTTGCACTTAATCACTAACTTAAAAGTTGGCAATTCCAATACATTCAGTAGCACCACAGAAGAAAGGCCTGGCATTCTCCTTTCGTAAAGATGACAGCCAAGAAAACCTCATGGAGCAGTTCTACTTGGTAACGCATGGGGTCACTGAATTGAGGGCTGACTGTAGCAGCTAACTACAATAACAACCAATCCAAAAACAATTCAAATGCACCCAGAGGCCCCGCTGAAGAAAAGCCTCCTATTTCTGAAATGGAGAGTAATTCCATTTTGAAACACATCGGGTCACCATGAGTTGGGATCAACTTGAAGGCAACTAATTTGTTTTTTTTTTTTGTTTATTTATTTATTTTAACAGGTGAAATAAAGGTTGTGATGGAAACCAGCAAGTAGAGGAGGGGGAGAGGATAAGGGAAGGGGGTCATTTTAGACAATGGTCCAGGCAGACCTCTCTGGGGAGTTAACATTTGAGATGAAACAGAGCATCAGAAGTCTTTTTTTCTGTAAAATGGTCTTAATTATTATGAGGATCAAATTTCTGGCACATAATAGGCACTCAATAAATATGTGTTGAATGAATCATAGCTACCCCCATTGGGTTTCTGAGGCAATAAATTCTTATGGAAGTAGATTGCCCCATCTTCCTTCCATGGAGTGGCTGGTAGGTTTGAACTACCCCCCTTCTGGTTATCAGTCAAATTCCTTAGGCACTGCACCACCAGAGCTCCGAATTAATTACATAATACTGTATGTAAAGTAAGGAACTCTGGTGGCATAGTGGGTAAGGCATTTGGCTGCTAAGCAGAAGGCCAGTGGTTCAAACCCCCCAGCTGCTCCACAGGAGGAAGATAAGGCAATCTACTTCCATAAAGATTTATAGCCTTGGGAACCCAGGTCCCTATGAGTCAGAATCGACTCAATGCCAGTGGAGTTTTTTATGTATGTAAAGTAGGATTCCTTGTGGCACAGTGGTTAAAATGCTGAGCTGCTAACCAAAAGGTTGGTGGGCCAAACCCACTAGCTATTCATCAGGAGAAAGATGTGACAGCCTGCTTCCGTAAAGATTTACAATGTTAGAAACCCAATGGGGCTGTTCTACTCTGTCTTATACCATCCTGTGACTTGGAATTAACTCGATGGGCAGTGGGTTTGATTTGGGTGTTGGTATGTAAAGTGCCTGGCATACAATAGGTGCCTAATACACAGTGTTGCTCTTTACAGAGGAGCTGAGTTCCTGGAAATATTGACTCTAAATTTTGAAATCCGAGCTTCATCCCCCTTTGATTTTCATTATAAATTTGAAGATGTGTACCTTTGGGGAAAATTCCGAGGACCTAGACTGAATAAAATTATAGTTAAGAATGTAGAAAACCTTTTAAGATAGTGTATTTAAAGGAAAAGTGATCATTTCTAATGAAATATTAATAGTTCTGAAAATGTCACTCAGTGTTTGTGCTGCTTGGCATTTGGTTGGCTAACACCTATGCTTAGAGCAGAACGCCAACAACCCTGAGCTGCCCAGGCCACAGGATTCTGGAAAGTTAGCCAGCCAACTCACTCCTCCTCCTGTTCTCTTCCCTCTTCAGCAGGAGACTGGGCAGCAAGGTCTAAATTAGAAGGATGGGGGAAAAAATACAGCAGGGACTACAAATGAGGGTGTTTCTTTGGAACATACAGCTGAGGTTTCTAGAAGATTCTGAAAAGACCTTAAGTGATGTACTTAATAGTATAAGCTACATTTTCCAATAGCCCCTAGTCACGTGCGGCTCTTTTAATTTTAATTAAATACACTTAAATGAAGCTAAAAATTTAGTTCCATAATTGCAGTGGCCACATTTCAGGCACTCAGTAGTCTGTGGCTGGAGACTACACCACACTGAACAGTACAGAGAACAATTCCATCGTCACAAAATAGAATTTCCAGCCAGATTGCCTGATTTCAAATTTTCTGGCAGTGTAGCTTTAGAGAAGTTACTTAACCTCTCTGTGCCTTACTTTTCTCATCTGTAAAATGAAGAGGATAATAAAGAACACCTGCCTCATGGAATTGTTGTAGATATTTGTGGTAGTTAAAGTTACACGTCAACTTGGCTGGGCCTGGTTTTGAGTGGCTGGGCAGCTGGTTGCAGTTATTCCTAATGAGACTGGCAATCAACTCCATGGAGGAATCTGCCATGACCAGCTAAGTAGCTGCTTTAGGGATGTGGTCTGCTTCCAGTATATAAGGAGAAGCTTTGGGAATGGCCTTGAGCTATTTGGCACACTTGGACCTTGCGTGTAGCTGAGTCTTCATTCAGCAGCCTGCTGTAATTGCCTGCCAGTCTTGGGACTGCTTCTGGATTTGAACTAGTGGCCTGCCATGTTGTTTGGTAATCTTGGGACTGTGTCATTTTACTTGTTGACCTTGGGTTTGTTAGCCTTACCAGCCAGTAGCTGTCTGAGTAAAGAGATGCCTCCAGATCCAG